GACAGCTTGTCCGCAGACAAGTCGCGGACAAACGCCCGAGATCCCCAGACACGGAACGCAGACGCATCGCCAACCTTCCCCGTCCATAGCAAAGCTGGGGAGGTCTCCGGCATGGAGACCCTGGGGTGAAGGTTGATCTGATGCGCCGCGTACCGAACCGCAAACGGCCACAGAAAATGGGGGGCAGCCGCATGCATCATGGACGTACGGGCGACGTCCATGACCATGCCAATGCGGCGCTCAGCAATCCTATTTTGCTGTGGAGAGTCCGGAAGCGTGAAGGTCTGGCGGATGCCTCGTGCACGACAGTAGGCTCGCAGAAGGCCAGAGGAGAACTCTCCACCTCTGTCAGAGTGCAGACGCAGAACAGGAAATTCCGAGCCGAAGCTCTGCCTGAGCTGGAGACGAGCTGCGCGGATCCAGTCGATCAACACCTCAGTGACATCACCCTTGCTGCGCAAGGGGAAGACTGTGGTGTAACGCGAGTAGTCGTCAACCACCAGCAGGAAGTAGCGCTCGTGACCCTGTCCACGGACGCGGGCCGGGCCCCACACGTCCATGTGAAGCGTCTGCAGCGGGGCCTCTGTCGGAGGAAACTGGGAGGAGTGAGGGGCAGCCCGCTGCCGCCCCTCGACACAAGGGACGCAGGTAGGGCCTGGCCCCGGAGGAAGGGGAGGGAGGGACCGGGGAAGACCAGAGACAAGGACACGGGAGGCCATGCCTCGGAGACGAAGCAGGGAGGGGTGACCAAGGCGGTGGTGCCAGAGGAGAGTCTCGTGCGACAGGGTGCGACACGAACAGGGGGCAGACTCAGGACCAGACCTGGACGCTGCAGCAAACACCTGACCCGACGCAGCTACCTGACCAGACGCAGTGACTGGAGGAGACTCAGTGGTTAGTGTGTACAGGCTCGACCCCGGCCGACGTGTAAACGTGGCCAGGTGTCGGCCTGTCCGAGCGTCCGTGCAGTGGGTCACCCGCTGACTCGCAGGAGTGAACTGGTGAACCCCCGCATCCTGTAGGTCAGCACCACTCACCAAGTTCGTAGAGAACGAGGGGAGGTAAAGACCAGACAGGGTGCCAGAGGGGGCCGCCGGACACGGGAGGACAGTGGAGAAGTGAGCAAGGACAGGACCCCCAGAGGGGTCTGCCAGAGAGACTGCAACTGGCCGGCCAAGCGGCGTGAGTGTGGTGCGGTCTCGAAAGAAGGAGCGAGAAGCCCCCGAGTCAAGGGTGAAGGTGTGGGAGGCCGAAGCCGACGCAGTACCTGAGAGAGCAGACTCACCAGCACCTGAGGGAGCAGACACACGAGCACCTAGAGCAGCAGCCTCGCTAGCACCTAGAGCAGCAGCCTCACCAGTACCTAGAGCAGCAGTCTCAATGCCCGGGTCGGGCGGAAAACACCGGTAACAGTCACCCTCATCACTAATAGTCACAGCATACATGGCAGCAAGAATAGCATCAAAGTCAAGGTCAAAGACAGCTACACCCGCCCTAGACAGCTCGCCCCAGCGGGGGATCTCAGTGGCCTCAGGGAACTGGTGACACCAAGCGTCCGTCAGGCGGCCAAAGCAGCGCTGGGTGGAGTGCGCACCCCCGCACTGCTCACCCGCGCGGTCGCCGGTGCGTAGGACGTAGGTGCACGGACCAGTACCCCCACCCCGCTGGCGTGCAGCGTACCACTCACGGAGCTGCTGAGGGGGGGGGATGTCACGAGTGCGCTGCTGCCGCTGCTACTGCTGCTGCTGGCGCTGACCACCACCGGAGCCGACCCTCTGCGCAGCGCCACCCCGACCAGCTCCACCTCCTCCGCCGCCGCCTCCTCCACCGCCGCCACCTCCGCCACCTCCGCTCCCACCGCCACCGCCGCCGCCGCCTCCGCCTCCACTGCCGCCACCGACACCTCCACACCCGCCACCACTCCCACCACCACCCCCACCCCCTCCACTGCCTCCACCACCACCTCCGCCACCCCCGCCAACCCCTCCAGCACCCTTGCCCACCTTGCCCTTGCCGGTGCGGCGTCTCCCGCTCGGGGCAGACGCAGCGCCGACCGACTCGAAACCAACGAGGTCGGTCGCAGCAGCAGAGGCAACAGAGGGCAAAAGGGGGGAGGGGGAACACCCCTCAAAGACGGGGGTGCGAGGGTCACCACGAGAGGCTCCTACAGCGACTATGCTCTTCTCTGCTGCTAGGAGGGCCTTCTCGAGGAGGTCAACGGTGAGAGTGGTGGGGCAAACTGAGAGGAAGTGGTCCCTGACTACGCGAAGGGAGTCAGGGAGCCGGGTGACTATGTAGTAGAGGGTGATGTACATGGGGGGGGGGTTCTTGGCGCAGAATTCAGCAGGAAGCGCAGCGCGGTAGCGAGTGTCACTAGTGCGGAGGTGCGTAATGAGGTCAGCGACTGTGGGAAAGGCAGCAAGGTCAGGGAAGAGGTACGGTAGGATGAGGCGGCTCAGTGCAGCAGTGGCAGGGGAGGAGTAGCGCGCAACTACAGCGTCGTACAAGGTGTGAGCACTCTTGTACTGGCTAAAGTGCGCACGCTCAGAGGTAGGCAGGTGGCGACGCACAGCAAGACGTGCAGCAGCATCGCGTGTGGCCCACTGTGAGCGAACAGTGGCGTCGGCATCAGCAGCAGGGGCAGGAGAGGCACCAGAGGTGAGGTCAAAGAGGGAGAGACCGTCTGCCCTATCGCACTGTAGGAAAAGCTGCAGGTCATCTACCCAGACGTCAAAGTCAATGGCCCGACCCTCAGCGTCAAAAGCGAGGACACTAGGGGTAGCCATGACAGCAGTAGACTAGCAGCGCGAACAGTAGGGTAAGGGCAGTGCAGTGACAGAGGCGCTGCTCTTACCGGAGAGGGCGGCTCGGGCGGCTCGGCGGCTCGGCGGGTCGGCAACTCGGCGGCTCGGGCGGCTCGGGCGGCTCGGCGGTACGGCGGCTCGGCAGCAACTGCGGCTCGGCGACTCGGCGACTCGGGCGGCTCGGGCGGCTCGGCGGTACGGCGGTGCGGCAGCAACTGCAGCTCGGCGGCTCGGCGACCCGGTGGCTCGGGCGGCTCAGGTGGCGCGGCGGCTCGGGCGGCTCGGGTGGATCGGGCGGCTTGGCAGTAGCTCGGCGGCGCCGGCGGCTCGGTGGTGACGGCAGGGCCGCGTAGGGACGGCGGCGGGGCCGGGTGGAGCGGCGGCGAGGCCGGGTGGAGCGGCGTCGGGGCCGGGTGGAGTGGCGTCGGGGCCAGTAGAGGCGGCGCCGGGGCCGGGAAGGGCAGCTCCGGGGCCGCAGGGGTAGGCGACGGGGCCAGCAGAGGCGGCGCCGAGGCAGGGAAGGGCGGCGCCGGGGCCGCAGGGGTAGGCGACGGGGCCGCGAGGGCGGCTAGGAGGGGGGGGGTCGCGAGGGCGGCTTGAAGAGGCCGCGAGTGCGGCTAGAAAGGGCCGCGAGGGCGGCTAGAAAGGGCCGCGAGGGCGGCGTGAAAGGGCCGCGAGGGCGGCGCGACACGAAGGAGCCGCGAGGGCGGCGGATCGGGGCCGCGAGGGCGGCGCGACGCGGCCGCTAGGGCGGCGCGACGTGAAGGGGCCGCGAGGGCGACGCGACGGGGCCGCAAGCGCGACGCGACGGGGCCGCTAAGGCGGCGCGACAGGGTCGAGAGAGGGGAGCGCGACTCGGGCAGTGGAGAGCGCGCTCCGGGCAGGAAAAAAAAATGTGGTGGGCCTTAGGAACAGTTCCCACAGGGGAACCTGCTCGATACCATGAGAAACTGAACGAGAATGAATTGACTAAGGGAGAGTTGGGTACAAATGTAAACCCTAGAAAACTGTACCCCATATGTGCTACCCCACTATAGCCTACAGTAGCTATGTCATATAAATCTGACATGATTCAGTCAAGCTTCAAAATTTCCCGCCAAAAAGGGACTATAGAGGAGGGGCTACACCTAGGCGATATCAGAAATTTCTACTCAGGGGAGAAAAGGGCTTTCTTAGCGAAGGCCTCTAAACCAGAACATTTGTACATTCGAGGCTAAATATTTGGGATCCGCGCATCGGGGATTGGGGTACAAAGCGGTGGGGGAGGGGGCACCTAGGAAAAGTGCCCTATGCTCGCTTCATGGTAAAACTCACTAATAGGACAAGTCACTTTTTACGCTGAAGTGTACCCAAAATGGTAACCCTGATTGATCAGGGAAAACGTACATAAGAAAAAAAAAATATTTTACGCCAAAGTGTGACCCTAAAATTTCACCCTGATGATCAAGGTATCAGGGTAATTTACCCTGATGAAATAAGCCCTGGTAGGGATCCTTCGCGAGGTCGATGGTTTCGAGAGCCAGCCGTCGCAGCCGCTCGCGGCGGTCAATCACCTCACTCTGCACGGACGCGGCGCCGCCGCTTCCGGGCTTGCTCCCCCATTCGTGATCCATGGTGGAGCAGCTTAGCTTCTTGAGGCACTACTCGATGAAATTAATTGAGTGGTTACTCGAAAAGCAAGCAGCAATGGGACTACGTTGCGATTAACTAGTTCCGCGAAACTAACTCCTCGCGAAACTAGTTACTCATTGAGGTACATGCTCCTGGTCCCGAAAACTACTGCTTTCTCGCTGCCTCGTTCCGGCGCAGTCGTGAAATCGGCAGCCTCTAGGCTTAGATGAGGATCCGTTGGTACTGATAGGGGCGAAGAGAAACAGAGACGTTGAAAACTAAATAACAGCGAGAATGAACGCACAGAAGCGTGTAGATCTCTCACCGCACTTCACCGTACAATAATGTGACGTGATGCGCCATACAGCTCACAAAACAGAGGGCAATTTATGTTTAGATATATTCAAAGAAAACAGAAACACTTCCAATCTCCAATGGGAATCACCTAAGTATCCTTCCCACTTTTTAGTGCCTGTCTATTACGGTACTGGTCCTTGCATTCTTCATTATGTTTGTTGCTGCTTTGCATTTGCAAGATGAGCAGGACGAAATGTTCCAAAACGGTAAGCAATGAATAAACTCAGCTCACGCATATACACAAGTATAAACTATTCGTGTTCCTCCTACCCCAAGCACTGCGTTGTGAACTTCCAGAATCGCGCCAATGTCAATCGTCCTCCCCCCCCTCCCCCCCCTCCCCTCCCTCTCCTCCTCCTCCTCCTCCTCCTCCTCCTCCTCCTCCTCCTCCTCCTCCTCCTCCTCCTCCTCCTCCTCCGCCACCGCTGCCGTTATCCCCGCTGTTATCCCCCCCATTGCCGCTGCTGCCATTATCCCCATTGCAATCACCACAGTCACCACCGCTGCCGTCTTCGCCCTTGTAGTCACCAATCACCACGTACCATAGTCACCACCTGCAGAATGACCACTGTCGCACTCACCACGGTAATCTCCACCGTCAGCTTGCATGGATGCAAGAGAACCCAGCTGCTCACTCCCATGCTCCTCCAGACCACGGTATGTGCTTGAGCCCTGCTCCTGTGAATGAGGTGACTTTTGAGTCGACTCAAAAGTCACCTTGAGCCCCGCTCCTGTGAATGGCCACATCGTTGCTTGTCGCCATGCGAAACTGCTGTGCCCTGCCGAGCCCACTCCTATGGTTCACATTACGGTTAGCGCCTTGCATCCCGCTCCTGTGAATGGCCACATCACTGCTTTTCGCCATGCGAAACTGCTGTGCCCCGTTGAGCCCACTCCCATGGCTCACACCACGGTTAGCGCCTTGCATCCCGCTCCTGTGAATGGCCACATCACTGCTTGTCGCCATGCAAAACTGCTGTGCCCCGTTGAGCCCACTCCCATGGCTCACACCACGGTTCGTGCCTTGAGCCCTGCTCCTGTGAATGGCCACATCGCTGCTCGTTGCCATGTGAAACTGCTGTGCCCCGTTGAGCCCACTCCCATGGCTCACACCATGGTTCGTGCCTTGAGCCCTGCTCCTGTGAATGGCCACATCGCTGCTCGTTACCATGTGAAACTGCTGTGCCCCCTTGAGCCCACTCCCATGGCTCACACCATGGTTCGTGCCTTGAGCCCTGCTCCTGTGAATGGCCACATCGCTGCTAGTCGCCATGTGAAACTCCTATGCCTTGTGCAACCCAGTGCGCTGATTGTCCTCAAGCTCCCAGCCACGGTTGTTGTTGAAGGGAGACATGCGAGATGATGCTCTGTTCATGGCCTGAGTCCTGCCCCTTCCCTGTCCGTTTCTGCTGCTCTCACCCTCATGCCAACCGACTGGATCGTTGTCATTGTCCTTCACATCTTCATTGTCATTGCCCCTGTCATTGTCGCTCAACAAGTTGTTGTTGCCCTTGCCATTGTCCCTGTCCTTGCCATGATCCTCCTTCTCATCGTTGTCCTTGCCATGGTCATTGCTGCCGTTCTTCTCATCGTCCTTCTCATCGTCCTTTTCATCATCGTCCTTGCCATCATCCTTCTCGTTGTTGTTGTCATCGTCCTTCTCCTCATAATCGCCACTGTCATCGCTGCCATCCTTCTCATCACCACCATCTTCATCATCCTCATCATCAGCCACCACATTCCTCCATGCCTCTGCCTGCATCTCCTCCTCCTTGTCCACTCCCATCGGTGCTGCCACTGCTGGCGCCTGGGGAACGATTGCCACGTCCTCAGTCGTCGCCATGTGAGGACGCGCCTTTCCCTCCCCCGCGCGCAGAGTCGCCGCCGCCGTCGCCTTTGCTGATCCCGGGTGAATTATTGCCACGTCCTCAGCCGTCGTCATGTGAGGTCGCACGTGCGTCTTGCTTGCTCCCATCATCGCAGGAGGCTGATTCTCGGCGCTGTAACCCACCGGCGCCAGCGCCCGCGCCCGGGGAACGATCGCCACGTCCTCAGCCGTCGCCATGAGAGGACGCACGGCGTGTGGGCGCGGCGATTATGCGTTTGACAGGGTGCCGCACTGTCTGATGCCGTCTTAGCGCCACCATGGATCGCCACGTTGTTAGCCGTTGCCATGCGAGGACTCAGGGGTTTGTTTCTTGCTCCCATCGTCGCAGAAGCGGGCTGATTCTAGGCAACGTGACTCGCGGCAGGCACTGGCGCCATGTGAGGACGGACGGCGTGTGGGCGAGGCGTTTGGGCGTTGCCTGATGCCGTCTTAGCGCCACTACCATCATGATGGATCACGACGTCCCCGGCAGTCGCCATGTGAGGACGCACGGGTTTGTTGCTCGCCGCTCCAATCATCGTCGCAGCAGCAAGCTGATTCTTTGCGACGTGACTCGCGGCAGGCACCGGCGCCATGTGAGGGCCGACGGCGTGTGGGCGACGCGGTTGGGCGTTGCCTGATGCCGTCTTAGCGCCACTAGTACCATCATGTGAGGACGCACAACGTGTGGGCGTGGCGATTGTGCGTTTGATGGGGAAATCGCCGCGTTGCCTGATGTCATCTTCAAGTTAGCGCCACCACCATGATGGATCGCCACGTCCTCCGCCGTTGCCACGTGAGGACTCACGGGTTTGTTGCTCGCCGCCGCCGCCGCCGCGATCGCAGTAGCAGGCTGATTCTTGGCGCTGTGGCTCGCTGTCACCGCGCCCTTCCGAAGATTCTTCGCCTCGCTCGGCACGAACTTTGCGGCTGCGCCCTTGCCCGCTGCGCCCTTGGCCGCCGCGCCCTTGCCGGCCTCTCCCTTGCCTGCCGCGCCCTTGTTCGCTGGGACCTTGTTCTTCGCGCCCTTGTTCGCCGCCGTCGCACCCTTGTTCGGTGCGACCATTCCCGCCGCGCCCTTCGGTGCGACTGTTTTCGGTGCGCCGTTGTTAGCCGCGCCCTTGCCTGCTGCGCCTTTGTCCGCCGCGCCCTTGTTCGGCGCGACCATTCCCGCCGCGGGAATGGCCGCGAACTTCTTCGATGCGCCGGCCGCGCCCTTGCCTGATGCGCCATTTTCCGTCGTGCCCTTTTTCGGTGCGATCGTTCCCGCCGCACCCTTGGCTGCGACCTTGTTCGGGGTGCCCTTCACATTTTCCGGTGCGACCTTAGCAGCGTCCTTGCCTGCTGCGCCCTTTCCCGCCGCGCCCTTGCCAGCCGCGCCCTTGTCCGCCGTGCCCTTGTCTACTGCGCCCTTGCCCACTGCCTCCTTGCCTGCTGCGCCCGTGCCCGCCACGCCCGTGCCCAGGCTATTGTTCCCGGAATCCTTGAATGCCTCGCTAAGGTCGTCGACATGATGAGGGGGAGCACGCAGAGGAAGCGCGGGACCACACTTCACTTCAGACGGAACACTTGACGCGTTTTTTGGCGCGCCAGAATCGCTTGACTCGCCATAATTGCTTGACTCGGAATCATTCGCCGTGCGGACAGCCTTTGGAGTCACTGGAGCGGTGCTGGTGGCTTCGCGACCATGTGCGGTTCTAGGAGGAGTGGGTTTTTTACGAGCAGACTACGGTGACTCGACATGGTTGATGGCGCCAGGTAGGCTGAGCACGAGCCGACGAACAGGAGGAGAAGGACGATGGGAACGATTTGCGGACTTGTCATGGTTCCCATCCAACCTGAAGATAGTGTTAGAATCTGGCGCTTTAAAGGACGCGCTCACTGCTGGTAGAAGTACCCGTCGTTGTGGTTGAGTTGCTTTCTGCAGCGGTTCAAGCGGGTGCTGGAGTTATAGGTTTGGTTGCCTTCTAAGAAAATATGAAAAAGCAAGCTCAGGTTTGCTGAACATGCTTCAAGAGAAATTGCGTTCCAATTTATGCTTCCAAATTTCTGATCCGCGATTTGGCTCGTGGAAAGTGCGTTGCGAGCCCGACATTGCGATGAAGGCGAACAGCTGCAAAGGACTTCAATTGCCGTGAGCGCGAAGGAAATCGGAGCCCTGGTTACGGACTTCGATTACCGTGAGCGAGACAGGAGAGGGATGTCGGAGCTCTGGTTACGGACTTGGATTACCGTGTGCGAGACTGGGTGCCAGAAAGAGAATCACGGTAACGATTTGACGAATCCGAGTTACATACTGGTTACCAGCTGAGCTCCAAGGACATTGGAGAAACTCTGCGTTTCCTGAAGTCAACTTGAGTCGGTAAAGCTAGCGACCCGCTAAGCAAATACTACCATTGCCTTGGTGCAATGCTTGGGGTATACGAGTGTGCAATGCTTCTATGGGATATTACAATATAGTAACATGGCATCTCATCTCAAATGTGCAAAACCTAAAATGGCTATGCATACTTCATCCTATAGTACTATCCACTGCCAGACTCACTGAACTGAGCTCGTGCCACAGAGCCACCCCATTCTACATTGCCTTTAGGCCTTAGAGATACTGTCTGTCATGATAAATATTCAGTCGCACGCACAGCTTATGTAATACTGTCCTGCGTGCCCTGCACTTGCACGCACAGCTCCGCCCCCGCCCCCCTCCCCCCCTTCCCCCCCCTCCGTGGGGACGGGGGGGAGAGGGTGTGAGGGGGTGGCGGATGTGCCTCAGCAGCAGCAGCTGCCGCCACGCCTCCTCCTCTCTTTCTCCCTGCCGCACCTTGTGTTGGGAGAAGGGGGGGGGGGGGGGGGGGAGCTTGGAGATTCAGGGGGAGGCAAGAGGGGATCTGCAGCACCAACACCCCCCCCCCCCCCCTGCCCTTCTCCTACCTCCCCCTGCTGCGGGTGCAGCAGTGGGGGGAGGGGATCTGCAGCACCGACCCCCCCCCCCCCCCCCCCCCACCCTTCTCCTACCTCCCCCTGCTGCGGGTGCAGCAGTGGGGGGGGAGGGGATCTGCAGCACCGACCCCCCCCCCCCCCCCGTCCCCCTGCTGCGGATGCGGCAGTGGGGGGAGGGGACCTGCAGCACCAGCCCCCCCCCCCCCCCCCTTCTCCTCCCTCCCCCTGCTGCGGGTGCAGCAGTGGGAGGAGGAGACCTGCAGCACCAGGTTGCAGGTGGCGGGTATGGGGGTGGCGGGTGCAGCCCGCGAGCCGCCCCTGCAGCCCGCGAGCTGCCCCTGCAGCCCGCGTGCCGCCTCTGCAGCCCGCGAGCCGCCCCTGCCACCTCCTGTCCTCGTGCAACTGCGGGGTGGCGGGTATGGGGGTGGCGGGTGTGTGAACCGTCCCCTACTCCTCCTCCTCCTTCGTCTCCCACTGCTGCAGCTGCCGCTGAGGGGGGTGGGTGTGTGGGAGCCGAGGGAGTGGTGCTAGGGGGGTGATGTGGGAGTGGAGCTAGGGGTGCAGCAAGGGGTGTGTGAAAGGGGGGTGGGACAGTTGGGGAAGGTTGAGCGGAGGCTGCCGACTTGTCGTCCGCAGCACCTGTAGTCCGGGGCTCTGCTGCTGGTAGCTCAGAGAGCCTGCTGCGCCTGTCGCCCGTGGGTCCGTTGCTCCAGCCGCTCAGAGTTAGCCGCAGAGCCAGTTACTCCTGTAGTCCGGGGCCCTTGCTCCGGTAGCCACCGTGCGCACCGCTCCTGTTGCCCGTGTGTCTGCAACATCAGCCGTCGCCTCCTATCTCCTCTCCTCTCACAGTCTAGCCTCCTCCTCCTCACTTGTCCTTTGTGAATGCCTCTAGCTTTGCTTGTACTAGTGAACCTGCTCTATGACTGCTTGCTCTGCTGATTATACCCCACTTTGACTATGGGGGTGTGTCAGAATCTATTTGCTGTCTAGCCTGCAGTGGGGTACTCTGTAGTGAGTACAACCCAATTTAGGGTTTGCTATTTGTATCCCAACTTTCTATAGTGAAACCCCTCATTCTTTCCTCTCGACTTTCCTCACCCAAAACTCTCTCGACACTCCAACTCTAGCTATGGCTCCTAAGCCTAACTAGCCTATTTCAACAAAGCTGGTAGTATGGTAAGGTTCAAACTCAGCGGACAAACTATAGTTCCTTGCTTCCATCCGCATTACACAAGTCCTACTAGGTTTAGCCTAGCTCCATTGCATGGAAATGACTGGAGGCTCAACGTGGAGGAAACCCTAATCCAGTGGTTCGTACTGAATATGTTTCGATCCCTGCCGCAATCCCAATACGGCCAATCTGGTGGCCTCCAAACGCGCCTGAGAGACCAAGCTCTCCTCGTTATAGTCGTCTTCGTCGCTGTCAAGCGGCATGACTTCAAACCTTCGACTGATCATTTCATCATATAGGTTCCTTGTATAACAACAAGAACTGTACCAAGTAGAAGCAGACTCGGCAGGCGTGGCTCCAGGATTCCCGCTGGCTTGAGGCTTGGGTGGCAAATTCAACTTCAAAGAGCGATTTTCTCCCAAGCCGCGATGGAAGCGGCGAATGGGGAGGCGGACGGGGAAGCGTATGGGGACACGAGCGGCGACAGCACGACAAACGATGATGTGGAAGATCCACGATTCACGACCCGTTGAGCAGGACTTGGGGAAACGCGAGCGTGCACTGTCGAGGGACGACACGGCTTTCACAGCAACAGAGGAAGCCATGGCGTTTTGTCGAAGAAGCTCTTCGGCGCGCTTCTGAGAGTCTGGGGCGTAACAACGAGCAACTTCACGCAAACGCACAGGGCATCGTTGTAGCAACTCGCACATCAGCTTCAATGACGTACTCTTTGTGCCGGAATTGCGCTTCAACCTACTGTCCGTGGCAAAACTCTCAGACTGCGGAGTGATGCTCGCCACCGATCCCTACACACGCGATCTCATCCTCACCTACGCTCCTCCTGACACCCCCGTTGAGTCCCACAAATACCTCGGAAGGGTACGATCAATCAACGGCGCCTACGTTCTAGACTTCGACAAACTTGACAGTGACGTAGGTGGCGGGAGCGCGGCTGATGTTCGGGATGTAACGAACGGATCCCACCATGTGTTGTCCGCAGCAGCTGTCCAGGTACCAGGTGTTGTGATTGGCATTGTTGTTGTGCAAGAGGAGTGCGAGACGCGGTGTGACGAGG